AAGTGGACTTAGTTTTTTTACAGTATAGAAATAGGAGTATTTATATGATCTGATCATGTGAAACTCTGAGTATATGATTATCTCTGATATGCCTTACTGTAATATCCAGGAATGTTTCAAGGGAATTCGGCAGCCCCAGACAAAAGAGACCTGGGTGCCCCTCAGTGTTTCCCACAGAATTATTTCAATCTATGGCAGTAACAGACAGAAAGAACTGTATTGCATGAGAAAAAGAAATGTATTTCATGCTACAACTGCAGCTGAAACTCTGAGGTCTGACTGTCTGAATGGACTGTAAAAACGTTATGGACCATAGCACGAGCACACAATACAGATGTGCTCCCACATTTGGTACAATACATTACATTTAGCTGACACTTTTTTCCCACGGGGGCAATAAATGCATCAACTATGAGGGTACAAACCCAAAACAACAAGAATCAAGTATGTATAATTACTACAAACTACAAAGTGCTAAATGTAAGTGCAACTAAACAAAACATTTTTGTCACCAAGGTGTAGTCTGAAGAGATGTGTCTCTCATCTGCAGCAGAAGATCTGTAGACTTTCTTATGTCCTGATTTCAATGGGGAGCTAAATCCACAATTTAGGAACCATTTTGTTGAGGGGCTAACTCGCAGTGAGGGAGCAGCAAGCCGATTGGCAGATGCAGAGTGGAGTGGACGGGCTGGGGTGTTAGGTGTGACCATGTCCTGCATGTAGACTGGACCCAATTCTTTCGCAGCACGTTATGCAAGTACTAGTGTTTTGAAATGGATGCAGACAGCCACTGGTAACCAGTGAAGGGAGCAGAGTAGTGTGAGTGAACTTAGGTAGATTGAAGACTAGTCAAGCTGCTGCATTCTGGATGAGTTGCAGAGGTCAGATAGCACTAGCAGGCAGACCAGCCAGGAGGGAGTTGCAGTAGTCTAGGCGTGAGATGAACAGAGCCTGGACTAGAATCTTAATCTTAATCTTTATCTAGAACCTGCGGCGTCTTCTGAGTGAGAAGGGGACGTATTCTCCTGATGTTGCTAAGCATGTAGCTTCATGAGCGTGTTGTTGCAGTAATGTTGGCAGTAAGGGAGCGTTGACTGTCCAGTGTCACACCCAGGTTCCTAGCAGTCTGGGTGGGGGTTACAACGGAGTTGTCAAAGGTAATAGTCAGGTCATGGGTGGGAGAGTCTTTCCCTGGAAGCAAAAGTAGTTTGGTCTTGACAAGGTTAATTTTCAGGTGATGTGCGAACATCCTCTGAGAGATGTCAGTCAGACAGGCAGATCCAGCTACCAACGCCAAAGTGCATTACTGCCACCCACCGTGTCGGAGCATCTTTAAACAGAACAAGGAGGTAGAAAACGAGTATTTGCAATGTATTATCACATCATATGTACCACCAAAAAATACTCCATACATGTGTGTATGTGCACATAACTTTTAGTGAAAATAGGCAACAGGCTAGAGGCAGAGATAAGACGCAGGACTGAAGTGAGCGTCGCAAGGACGTCACGTTTGTGTCCACTTTCAAAACGTTGAATATTCGCTCTCCATTACGCTCCACCAATCAAGATAATCTGTCTCTGAGCTGCTTAACGCTCCACTACATTCACCATCATTGTTTGGACTTTAGACATAATTGTGGGATTCTGCATGAACTGTGTCTTTTCAGTTTTCACTTAGTGCTACTGCTGTCTTGCTGAGTTTTTGTGGTTTTTTGTTATTTGTTATTCAGCAAAGTGACTCCGAAGCACCTGCCAGTGGGACTCACTGGTGATCACAACTACTGGCCAAAGGACTGTGGTTCAAAATTAGACAGCCCATTTACAGAAAATTCAATCAACGTGTTCTTATGAATAAATACATAAATAAATGAATAACTGAGAAATTGCAGCCTGCAACAATATACTGTATCATTTTTAAAATGTCCTTTTACTTATTGAGATCTATAAAGTACAGTATTTCTGATTCTGATGTGTTTGCTGCTGTTAGTTTAACCACCTCATCTGTGGATGCAACACGCACGCTCGCGCGTGCACGCACGCACGCACGCACGCACGCACGCACGCACGCACACACACACGCGCACACACACACACACACACACACACACACACACACACACACACACACACACACACACCTAACACTTTAAAGTTAAAAGATCAAAGTACAATGTGGATCAAAGCCCGGCTCTCTATATAACATCCAACTGATAATCTGATCAGCATCAACTGTTTTAACTGAGACCTGTGGTGAAGGTTTGTTATAGTAGAGAGAGAAAGCTTCTGATACACTGATGAGTCTAATAAGGAAACTAGCTAATCGCATATGCCTAGAGATGTCCCGGTTCATTGTGCAGCGAGATGAAGGCCAAAGGACTCCCCGCTTACTGGGGAGACGAGGAGGAGTGACAAACATCCTCAACCAGGACTTTCATGAGGACATGAACGAAGAAAGTGGGGATGCCGATGATGAAGATTCTGATGATGGAAGCTCTACAGAAGGTTGGAATAGTGATGATGAAAATTCTGATCATGGAGAGTTGGAGGATAATGGGGATGCCGATGATGAAGAGTCTGATGATGGAAGCTCTATAGTTGGTTGGAATAGTGATGATGAAAATTCTGATAGTGGACACTCAGAGGATTGTTGGGATGCTGATGATGAAGATTCTGATGATGGCAAATCAGATGATCACAGAACTGCAGCACTGGTTGCCACTTCACCCATCAACCGCTTTGATATTGATTAAGAGAGTAAGAAGATCATACGGCGTTTAGCCTTGTTCTAATAAGGCTTGTATTGCATACTACACTGAAGGCCCAAATACCAATGCGTTTAGAGGATATAGAAAGAATCTCCAAAAATGTGATAGAGAAGGCACAGCAGTTCCAGTTCCGCCCTGGGATCATAATCAAAGATGAAAAAAACAAGCGGGCCTCGAGTGCCTTGGAAAGAAAGGGAAGACTGAAGTTGATTACTTCAGACGGGTTGAGGATGGGTTTCTTCAGGTGACGGTTTACTCTTAAGAGAGTTAGGGAAACATTCCGTTGACAGGGAAGTGTTGATAAGATTGGTGAGAAAAGGAAGAAGTTCGGGAGCAACAGGTGCCAGAGTCTGCAGCAGTGAAGGGGTTGAACCAAGACAGTTTTTTTTAATAGTTATAATCCAATCAAAAGAGTTTCTGTGGTGACTGTCAAACTATTTTTTATTTTTACTAAATAAACAAATCCAATATTTATACTAATCTTGCTCCGTTTTAATAATGACCATGTGAAGGTTTTTATGTTTTATTTTCAGCTGATCCAAAAGGAAACAGATTAAAATCTATAACGTGATATCCTGAAAGTATTTTCATAGTCTTAAAAATAAGGCTGCTCTGCCACATCTGTCACTGAGACCAGGTTAAAGAGATTATAGCTGTTGAAATATTCTCTCTCACACACACACACACACACACACACANCACACACACACACACACACACACACACACACACACACACACACACACACACACACACACACACACACACACACACACACACACACACATTAATGTACAGCCAACGTTCAGATTCATTGGAAGTCGTGTTTGCTTCGTTCTTCAAAACTTTGAATGTTCACTCTTCTTTTAGTTGTTTTTGTCTCCAACAATCAAAAAATAAATGCCACCACATTCCCCAGCATGGGTGTAGAATGTGTTATTCAGCAAAATGACTCAGAAGCATCTGGGAGTGCCAGCAGCTGTGAACTAGATGTGGCGGCTTTACACAACAGCTCAGTTTTCATGCAGCACCTCTCTCATTACGTCGGCTCTACCCGAGCAGGTGCTCCTCTTTTACTGTACCGCATCATTTCCAACATTTTAGTCTCAGGTTTTGTTTTCCGTGTGCGGGCTGCCGAACGTATGAAGAGGTTTACAGGTCAAATGGTTTACAATAGACACAGTGGAAAGTTTTTTTACTGATGCTGAGAGAGGGCGGCCGCTCACTCAGATAAAAAAGAATTACCATAAAAAAGAATATATTGAACATTTTTCAATTTGTTACTGATGTTATTTTATCTCTACACCTCTCGGAGGGAGACAAGGGAAAACATTTCCTTCCACTGGCTCCTCAAGATTTTCACAGTAAAAGCTTGAGGTAACAGTCCTGCCTCCCACTGAACCTTGTTTTTCAATCATTAACAGTGCAACACACTATTAACGTGCACAATCTTGAATTAAAAAAGAAAACTAGGTACATTTTGTGGGCTGGTGTTTAGAAATGTGAAGACTGTGCCTCAGATCTGTTTTTTCAGATTTCGACAAAATGTTTTTATTGTTGAACTGTAGAATTTGTCGTTGACATATTTGTGTGCGTCAACTAGAATGTATGTTACATATATAATATAATCACTTTTCAGACCACTGCCAAGGAAGTTCTGTTTTCATCTGTTGTTTGTCTGTTGTTTAGCAGGATTACGCAAAAACGACTGGACGGATTAACATGAACCTTGAAGCATGTGGTAACTGGGTCAGGGAAGAACTCAATGCATTTTAGTGTTGATGCAGATCAGGGAGAGGATCAGAGATTTTCTTTACATTGTGAGACAGAACATTTTTGAGATTTTCATTGATTTATTACCGTCTGTGGCTCTTGATGAAATGAATCTGGTATATTTAGGGGAGTGATATCTATGAGTGTGTAATTTCACTGTTGGACCTCAGCAGAGGTACGCTCTCTACTGAGTGACACTCTAGTTGTATCTGTACTTTATATATATAAAAACTTTGTAAAGAGACATGAATATGCAATAAATTCACCCATCACAGGCTGAGTTCATCTAAATAAAAATCATTTATTTTTCATTAATATTATTATCATCATCATTCTATCTAGAGAGAGTCCACCATGCCACTTTCAGAACTGGAGTAGTGCTAAGACGTCTGTCTGTCTGTTGGGGTACATGATGGAGAGTGGGGGGAGGAGAGACGGGGGAACAGACAGACAGATGGATGATGGGGGTTGAGAGAGGAGGGGCTTGTACAGGCTCACGCTCCAGGTCATTCTCCATGCTGATGCAAACAAAGAGGGGACGATATAAAGGAGGGATATCGGGAGAACAGAGGGAGGAGGAGGCTGAGTTGTCTTTAAAAGTTTGTCCCTGTCGACCTACATGAGACTGAGCTGGGAGGACAAGACCATTTGAGGGGACGACAGGGGAGCAGCTTCAAGCTCATTGGTCAGGCTGCTGGATAGGGAACCAGGACAAGCCAATCACAGACTGATACAGAGGAGGAGGGTGTTTGTGTGCATGTCTGTCTGCATGTGTGTGTGTGTGTGTGTGTGTGCGTGTGTGTGTGTGTGTGTGTGTGGTGTGCTTGCACTGCTGTGTGTGTGAATCCGTTTGCACGTATCTGTGAGTGTGTAACTGGTCAGAGTTACTTTGATCCATTGTCACTGTACACTTGTCAAAAGTTACTGTCACAACCGGGAACAAAGTTGAGGTAACAAACTTCCTTCTTCTTCCGTCTCTGTAAAAAAAAAGAGAGAAGACAAGACATTAAGAAAAGACATGAATACAGGAATCATTCAACACTGAACAAACGTATCAGTCTTCGATGGGTTTGATTTTTCTGCTACACTGAAAACAATCAAAGAAGACATGTTGTCCTTAAATGAGCGAACAGTCCCGGGTACAGACCAGAGACTGAAAACAAAGATGGACGATACGTCTCCACTCTCCTAGATATGGGAGCTGCCATCATGCTCCTCATTTGAAGTGTGTGCAGTGGTGATCGTAGTGTGGAGCTGCAGCATCAAGGTCCCTATACACACACTCTACCAGAAACCCTTTGGGTCATTTATGAGCTGTTATATCGTCCACTTTAATCATTGACTGCATTGTCAACAATAAGCGACGAGGAAGTTTCGGCTTTGACTTGGAAGCTGTTACAAACCTCCATCTTTATATAAAGTCACGCGTGACACATAACACGTTACGTGGAGATGCTGGCACACATGAAGCGATGGATTTCTGTTTGGTTTTTTTTTTCCTGGTTTGAATTTGTCAAATTCTACATGTAGCAGCAGAAAAGTCTCGATCAGAAACCAAATCATCTAAAGACAAAGTCGTGAGTTATTTTCCCAGATGTTACCTGTGTTTCACCGCGCTGTCGTGTTGCCGCTGGAAACCATGTTGTTGTCAGAGTTTGACAGAGACTGTTCCTTTACTACTGGATCTGCAGGAGGAGAGAACAACATCATACAAGAATTCATGATCCGACACCAGTGATTCACAAATCAATGAAAGACGAGCAGACACAGAGACACAGGGAGGTCAGAGCCAAAAAGACAAATATTCTACAATTATATAACCACAACGTCTCACCACGTGTTACCTGTGTGTGTTTTGTAGTGTAGTGTGTATCGTGCTTACAGAAGTATGGGTGCTCCATGGCCTCTGTCGCCGTCAGTCTCTGTTGGTGGTCGTAGCGTAGCAGCTTGTCCAGCAGGTCCAGAGCTTCTGGACTCACCAAGTGCTGGTTCTCCGTCTGCACAAACTGCTCCCAGCGCTTCCTGCTCTGCCTGCAAGGATGCACAACACACACACACCGATAGTTTTACACCAGCACCAAACATCCTACACTCTTGTTCATCATTTATCAGTGGAAGAGTGAATTATATAACCAGAAGACCACTTGGTAAAACATATTGGGTGGTTCTGGTTCCCCGGGTCAGCTTTACAGCATCTCCTGTACGTCACAATAACCCGGAGGCAGAAACAGAGCGAGCTTACTGTCCCAGCAGGTCCTTGAAGCGCGGGTCCAGTTCAATGTGGTATTTACGCAGGTATCCGAACAGCTCGTCCGTCCCCAGCACCTTTGCAATTCGCACCAACTAGAAAACACATCAGATGTTGGACTCAAACTCTGAGTGGAAATATGATTAATATGCAGCAACGTTTTTATTGTCCAGTGTTTTAACTGATTCTTCAGAACAGACTTCTAATATTTCAACCCTCCACCTTCTGTCGTTGTGATGAACTCGAAAAGCTTTAGTTCTACTAGAGCTAAAACGACAGCGCCCTCTTTCTGTTGTTACAACACACAACATCAGTTAAAGGTCCGGGTCACAAATCGAGGTTGCCTCCATTACTTGTTGAAGTCGTCCTGTGCCTCAGTTAGGCCTCATCTGCCACGTGTAAGTGTGTTTTAAAACAAAGCAGATTTCCTTATATGTGTTTGTTTGCATTAAATCATCTTGTCCGTCTCTTTTGATTTAAAAAAGCTGCTGTTGTTGTCGGTACATGTGGTGGCTGCAGTACCTGGTCGTAGTTGTCTTGTCCGTGGAAGAAGGGCTCTTTCTGAAAGATCATACTGGCCAACATACAGCCCAAGCTCCACATGTCTAGACTGTAATCGTACATCTGAAACACAAAATCATCAAACAGCACTGCCGATGATGAACACACACACGTATCCAGATTATCCACATGAGACTACAGCGTATTCTCATGAACGTGTGACCGGGAAAAGTTTTACAACAAATTTGTTCAACGTTGGAAAAACTGACAGCCCTAGTGTGTGTGTGTGTGTGTGTGTGTGT